CAAATTTATTTTCACTGTTCTTCGTCTTCGTCCTCGTAGAAGTAGTAGTCCTCGTCGTTGCAGCCGTCGAGTATTAGAAGTTTTAGTAGTAGTAGTAGTAGTAGTAGTAGTAGTAGCAGCAGCAGTGGTAGTAGCAGTGGCAGTAGCAGTAACAGTAGTGGTGGTAGCAGCAGCAGCTGTAGTCGTCGACGCCTAGCAGTAGTAGCAGTAATGCCTTCGCGTCGTCGTCCTCGTCAGCATTGTCGTCGCGTTGTAGCCGTGGACCAGTGTTTACACACGTATTGCGAAGGAGTCCCATCAGCTCTGGACAAAATGAAACGAGCTACAGCGGGCCGACTTCACTCGGACGGCCGATTGCAAACTTACGGAAGTTCGAAGCGGTGCTGGTCAGCCAGATCACCGCTCTCCTGCGAAGCCAGGGTTGAGTCTGGAGTTTCGGCTTTGCACAGTCCCGCATAGCTGAGAAGGATTGTGGGAACAACCCAGGCCTACAGACATGTTGGAAGCAATCCCCCGGCCTCAGTAGCCGAACTGTGTGTACATCCCACCAAAGGCGCCCGGACCGGGCCTGCCATCACAGGAGCTCTGATTTCCGGACCTCTGCTTCAGAAGCCCCAAAAAGCCCGCGCTGCGTAGGACAGAGCCCGGAGGAGTCCAACTCGTTGCGGCATCGAATCGAAAACTTCGGTCCTCCGCAGAACGCCAAGCGCGAGCCAGGGCGACTCCTTCCCCCCCCCCCATTTCACCCCACCCCTCTCGGCCCCTCACCGGCAACTCGGGAGCCTCGGCACAGAGGAAAAGAACCAGCGCTCGCTGCCAAGACACTGCAGCAAAGCGACGGAGGTCGTATTGGCCAGGTCCCGGATTCTCGCCTGAGTAGAAAGGCGGGTGCGTTGCTTCAGCCCTGCCAGCATCGCAAGACCCAGGGGCACCGTTTCCTCGAACGCCTCGGTCGGCAGTGCCAAACCTCGTGTGCAAAATTCGAACCACCCCAAAAAAGCCGGGAATCTGCGTATATACCCTGTTGTGGGAATCCAAGGCCAGGCACGCCCATCTCGGGGCGGATTTTGACACGGGACCTCACTCCCGCAGAGAGACTGTGGGTTTCACGATGTTCTCTCTCGGAGCTCTGGTTTAGGGTTCCGGCTCTCCGAGCCCGCGCCAGCCGCAGCGCCATGGCCATAGGTGCCCGGGCCAGGGGTGGTGGAGCACCTCTTTTTGGAACAAACGAGATTTGTCCCCCTTCTCAAGAGACGAGGAGGAGGAGAGTCATCTGCGCTCCGGCCGGGACTCGGACTTTCGGCGTCCCCAGTCGGCCTTCTGCTCAGGAATTGGGCTCGTCACTGTGTTGCACGTTCTTGCACCCCGAGCTGATCAGTTCCGTGCCCCGTCTCTTCGGGGCGTGCAAGTGTGTCGCGGGAACTGCGGCCTGAGCCCAACACGTGCATCTTGCCTGGGGGGATTCTCTTGCCGCCCCTCGCCGCTCGCCTTGTCGAGTTGACGTTTGGCACATAGGCCCCGGGGCCTCCGCTTGCAGGCACGTGGACTCGTCATGCCAGATTCCGTAAGTTGTGCAAAGCCTGGCGTGTCCCGTCCAGACCCGAGCCTCGCACAACAGGATTCACTCAGTTCACTCTGCTCCGATACGCGAAGGGTTTGTGCAGCGAGGCCCCCAGGCCCCAGGCCCACGTGCAGCTCTGCCGAACACAGGGCCAGCAGAACGGGGGCGCTTCTAAGTCCAGGGCGAAGGAAACGCCACATCTCTCCAAGGCTCGGTCTCTCGCCTGTATAAACCCTAGATCAAACTGATCAAACCTAGGTCACACGCCATAAACCGACCCTAAATCTGACTGAGCCCCAGGCTGAGCCGTAGGATTCGCTGGCCCCATAGGCACCAGGTCCGGGAGAGGCCAAAGCCATGCCAGCCTCTGCGAGAATCGGAGCTCGAGGCATCGGCTTTGGATTCCGGAGCCCATGTTCTCACTATATTATATGTCTAGTAACGAGTCTAGTATATCACAATAGACTGGTATAGCATATTTTTCGTAGTATGGGTCTCGCCTTAAAGACGGATTCTTATACAATAATCATACTGGAACCTGGGGCTGTTGACCGCTTGTCACTTGACAATCATCATAACAGGAAGCGCTGTAATCGGTAATTACTTCGCATGGATGCTGATGATGCCTGGTACAGTATTTGTTTTGGAAAGATTTATTGGAGGCGATGCTGATGATGTTTTCTTTCGGACGAGTGTTTTGTCCGAAGGTTGGGGATGATGCGGATGATGCTGGTTTGCCTGCGGCATGCAGCCTCAAGTATCCGATGATGCTACTCGGCCGACGCTGAAGAAAGCAGTGATACGGCAGACACTTGAGATGCTGATGATGCTTGATATCCAAAAAGAAAGGGCAGACGATGCTGATTGTCGGTTGGACCCACCCTCTGTCCGAAGCCGGATGGGGATGATGCAAAGATGCTTGCTTTCCAGCCGCGTGCAAGTTCAAAATATGCGGTGATAGTAAGAATGGTAGTCGCCTTGCGGCTGCTTTCTACCTGGAGGCGGTTGGGTTCGACACAGCTCGCCAAGCAAGCATCATGATTATCACTGTGTCATGTGATGATTTCTTGAGTTGCTGCCGGCAGATGGTCGGGAAAAGCACGGGAAGCGGCCAGAAGGCGCAGGCCTGACTTTGCTGCGGTGGTGGTGATGCATCCAAATCACGAGCATCATCAGCATCATCGCTCCATGCTTTCGGATGGAAGGCGGCGCACAAGGCAAGAATCATCAGCATCGTCTCTGTACCGAAAGCCTCGGTTTCTTTTAGCAGGCTTCGCGCGCTTGCTTGGAAAAGCGAAAAGCATCGGTATCTGCGGCGTGTGACCGCAAAATGTGCGTAAGTGTGTAATCACGACGCAAAGACGTCGAACACATCCGCATTCATGGTGGTTCTGTGTTTGCTTGTACTTGTTTCCGGGAATGTCCCTGTCCACTGGCGTGTGCGCCCTCCAGGCGCCGTGTAGCAATAGGAACAGGAGAAGAAGTGAAGATTTGGGTAAGAGGTTTGTTTCATGCTTGTGCAATGGATGCACTGGCCCCACGGACGTCATCACGGTTATAGGCCAAGGATACTCTGGGGAACGGATGGAGCCCGCGAGACAGTATCAATACTGATGTTTCCGGGGTGTGAAGCTAAGGAAACACTGCAAATACCTCGGACCAAGCAGGGGAGTATTTCTTATTCCGACATGGAAGCACCTCAAGTAACGTTATAGACGGCATGTGAGTCTTGTCTTGTGCGCTTTCATGAGTTGGAGCCAGTGAGGCTGACATGTCCGCTGGTGCGCTCGTCGAAAAGTAACCGCTGCCTGGGTCGTCGGGATCTTCGCTTGTCTCCGTTCGTTGGCCGGGCATATTCTGTCTCCTGAAAAATTGCCGACATGTTTCAGCAAGTTGCGGGCCCCTGGGCGGTTGTTGGGGTCTTGAAGGCCTGTTTCTGCTTGCTCCCCCTGCTCCCTCTCCCGCTTGTTGGGCTGGCACTGATTGGAGTGGCGTGGGCCGCCCTCATGTGAGGCTTGAGGTTCCAAAGTGTTTCTCCAATGCTATGAGCAATGAGGAGCAATCATGCTCTTTCTGCCTGACGTTTGAAAGGAAGATTCCGACAACTTTTCCAACTTCCAGCTGAGGCGTGAATGGTTGGGCCTGTCCGCAAAGGTAACTTTGAGCAGGTTTGCTGCAGAAGGCTCCCACGGCTTGAGGCCGTGGTGGAATGTCCCATCGTTGGGTTTTTGGCATCGCCCAGACCCCGTTTTCGGCGCTCACAACTCGGACCCGATAGGTCGGCTGTGTGAAACCAGTCAGAAAACGACGTCATACAACACAAAGCCACAAATACACATCTAACCTACTCTAGGGAGGGAGAGTGTCAGTCCAAGCAGAGGGTCCACCCTTAATGGTACAAAGTTGGTGGCCAGACCATTTTAGGATCTTCCTTTTATCGGGGAACTTGAAGAATCTGCTCGGAAAATGTGAAACAGGGCTGAGAAGTTCAAATTCCGAAGGCCTCTTGTTGCGGGATCTTGTGGGAGAAGCAGCCGCGGATCTGATGGGATCTCTGAGCCTTCCTTTCCGGGCTATTTCTTGTTGGAGACCTGGCCTTGTCGCGAGCCGAGGAGCCGAAAACGTAGCAAGGCTGCCTCCCAATCAGCGGCAGCAGGGGGGTGGGTCCCTTCTGTGCTCTGACGGAGGCTCTCTTTCCGACCTGATCCTGCAGGACTGAGACGTCTGATGGCCATAAGTGCCAGGCCCAGGCGTCTTTGGTCTGACCAGGACAGCTACGAGTAGATTGAAATAAACATGCTCTCAATGGCATAGCCTAGTGCCACTGCCAGGACTTTTTCCAGCAAAGCTCCACTTCGGTGCCTTTGCATGTTGGTACACAGCCACTGCCACCGCTGAGGAAATGGAGTTGTCATGTAGAGGGCAAAATGTGATCGTCTCAGGCCGGAGCTTGCTTGTTCTGGGACATGTGAGTCAGCAAAACGCCGCCCTCGTAGCCCATCCGGCTGCTTGGCCGAGCCATGGACATGCCTGGACAAACTCTCTTTGAGCTGTGCAGTTCAGGAGCCCATGCACGAGTTAACAGATTTACCGTGGTCATGCTTCGATTCAAGATTCTGCCCAAGCCTGGCGACGGTCAACGGCGAGAGAATGCGAGAGATGCACCGATAGATGGCTGATGGCTCCTGCCCTGGTGACCCCAGAATTCAGGTTTCGGGAATAATTAGGGACTCGGGTGGTGGGGAAAGGGAATTGCCGCGCCCTGTGTCAACCCGGCAAGCTTGAAGCTGATTCGGCTGAGCACCGTCGTCGTGCACAACCTGCCTAGGCCTAGGCCTAGACCTGGGTAAGCTGAACAAGCATGGACCGCCGCAGGTCTCCGCCTCTTTCGAGGAACGAGGAACATAGGAACGAGGAGCATTAGCTGAGCGTACTCCGGAACTTCCGTGGTTCGGGAGATCCGGAAAACGCCGATGAAGAGCATGGATTACTGTAGCCTCTGTAGGGCGCTGTGCTTCCCATCTTGGGCGGTCACAGGTACATGCTGACATTGAACTTATGGCGCCGTGTAGGCGGATTCAACAGCCAACTCATCTTTGGAGTGGCGAAGTCTGCTTTCGAAGTTCAGCCTCCAAACGTGCGTTTTCCATGGCACGTTCTTGCAGCAGAGACTGCATGTCAGCGTTCCTTGGTCGCAGCTCCACTGACATGAAAGCTTCCACCTTGTCGTCGCAATTTGGCCACACCTGCCGCCGTGCTTCTGCCACTCCAGCATCTGGCACAGGCTCAGCACTTCACGTGCTTCTCGACCCGCGTCCTGCAACGCTTGCAATTACAGCATAAGGCCTGTCAATGCAGTGTAGCTGTAGCTTCAGGCTTGAGATGGTTTCAAACTTGCCCTGGGACTGGGGAGACTTCAGCGCTCCTGGCCGCGCTCGGGCGGCTCAGGGGGTTCGGCATCCTGCAGGACTCGCAACACAAAGGAAACCGGGTCCCTTGCCGAGACTTTTTACCCCGGGTGGATAAGAGATGAGGGCATTGCGCCCTGGAAGCCGGAGGAGCCTGCACCACCCATCGCCAGGCTGCCAACAGCGCGGCAGTGCGCGCCTGCGCCAACACATCTTCAATGATGCCTCGGATGCAGCAGTCCCGTCGAATATGCCTGGCTGAGCATTGCAGAGAAGCAAAACATCTTGCCAGGTTACTCTGGAGTGTTTGCTGTGTGGGCGCTGGAAGGCCAGCGGCCTGGCAAAAGCCGACGACGAAGAGTTGGTTTGTCGGCTGTGACAAAGAGCTTCTTGACTTTAAGCTCTGTTCCATCAGACACAGGAGGCTACCCTCCACGAAACTGTAAGCTTGGAGGAATGGAAAAGCTGGCAAGCTCCATGGTGCAACCAATTTTGAAGAGGCTCTATCCTTCCCTCTCCGGCTCCCCGTTGAGCCGCACATGCAGGTTCCGTCCTGCCGCGTTTGGGCGGCGCGCCGCGCGAGCCGCGCACGGGCCACCTGCGCGTGCAGCCGTGCCGCCCAGGCCCTGCCGGGAAGAGGTCGGTCGGTCGGAGTTTGGGCGCAGTCTTGGGGGTTTCCGAAAATAGGGGACCCTAATGTAGTACCCTAAATGGTAGGATCCGTATTATAAGAACCCCCAAAACATGTACCCCTTATTGTCGGAAACTCCTGTCTCGCAACAAGACTGAGCTGGGGCACCAGAGCTCGGAAGCGGCAGAGGCCTCCTCGCAACTCGCAAAGCCCGCGGAAGCATTTCGCATCGTCTGAAATTCCAGCTGCTGCGATGCTCTGCACATCTGGAAATGAAAGGTAAGCCAAGGGCCATCCATTTCGCGCCACTCTTTCTGCTGGCCTGCAGGAGACAGAACTGACCCCAAATGCGCCAGAATGCGATTTCTCTGCCTAGAAATGGCCCTGCACAAGAGGCAATGAAGGCCTGTGACAAGCCAAAACGGGCCTACATTCCAAGAAGCCTTGTTTGAAGTTCTGGTATTAGGGAAAACGGAAAACCTGAAAGCTCGAAACTGAAGCGGAGAGTTTTCTGGAGATCTCTGAGACAGGCCAAGCCTCCCGTCGTCGCGGAAGGCTGCGCCAGGCCCGGAAGGCCAGCTCTGTTTCGGCTCCTGGGCTTTGCATCAGCCGATTTTGCGCAGGCCCTACAATGCCTGGACTACTTCGGAGGCGAGTATGAGGGCTGCCGAGGTGCTTTGTTGCAACATCCGCACCGACACTGGGCACGAGTCGCGCGAGTAGATGTTGGGCTCGACCTCTCAGCGTGAGCTCGCTAAAACGAGTCTCCACGGTTGCCCAGGCACAATCCTGGCCCGCGCCTCCACCACGCGTTCCTGCCCTCGCGACCAGCAGCGCCATCTGTAAAAAGCCAGCGTTGTCACCACAGCTCGGTGCACGCCTATATCGCAGGTGCAGCAGAGTTCAACAGCACCCCAACTTTCGCAGGCGCGTATCGCTCTTGCCCGGTCCTTCGAAAAGCGGCCAAAGATGTCGGCGAAGACTCTGCAAACCTCAGCGAGACGGAGCCGGGCAGTCGCAGCATCTGACGGTGTGATCGACCGACTGCTGGCGAGATGCGCTGGTTCCAGCAAGCAGCCACAAGCCATCTGCCGAAATGGCTCCGGAGAAGCCTGCGCTCCTGGAGCACATGCGCACGGCTTCAAGCCTTCGGCCCCTTGTCGCGCTTGTCAGATCTCTTCTTCTGGCTCCTGCAGCCGGGCCTGGCATCGGCGCTGCCCGGCGGCCCAAGCGCGGCGCCGCCTCGAAGAGCACTGCCGCCAGCCGTGCAGACATTTGGCCAGCACGTGCCTGAGGCTCCAGAGCTGGGATCAAGAACGAAGCGAAATTGAAGAAGACGAAGGACTCGGGAAGGCCAGAAACTGCTTGATCTCTTGGAGCTTCGACGGAGTCGGTGAAACATGTGGCGACCCATGGAAGGTCGAAGGTTTGCGGCTGATTTTCAGCCCTAAGCCGGTGCATTTACTCATGAGCTCTCGCTCAGTAGAAGGACTCAAGCGGTGTGAGAGACACCTCCACGAAGATGTCGGCGGTGTGCTTGGAGTCCAAGTCCAAGGTCCAGGTGGCTTCCATCAAGTTGGAATCGCAGGCGAGGCTGCCTGAATCGGAAAAAGCCTGTGGCTGCATCTTCGTCTTGCCGTTGCCTACCAAGCGCAGGGCGGCCTTCTTTGCAGCTGCCAACTTCTTGCCCGACAGGATCGCAACGTGGCGCTCCACTTTCGCAGACTTGCCCTTGTAGATGACCGTGGCGGAGATCTCGCTGTGAGGATTCCGGATTAGGAAGTGGAGCGCATGGTCCCAAATCACTGGCTCCTGCTGCAGTAGGTCCGATTCCCCCTGCTTGACTTCGGGAATACTCCTGCCGAAGCGCGCACTGCCACAACCCGACATGTCATGTCCCTGTGTGTATAGATGTTCAGAACAAGACAGGACGAAGATCCGGGCGGGTCTGGGGCAAATGCAGGCAAGCTTCATGTCCAAGACCTCCTGGATCTTGTCGGGCTTCATTCCCAGGCACTTACTGATAGAAGCCTTGTCGAACCTGGCACACAGGTTCCGAATCCACTTTTGTGCTTCACTTCGGCCGGATTCATCCACGTAAAGGGGCTTGTAGGAGGACTTGGACCATAGCATTTCGTTCTCGAACTTCACCCCAAGGATCACTCCGTCTGCGGCGTCGCCAGGGGGTACCAAGCCCTCACGGAGGCAGATCCGAAGGATTCCTGCTTAAGGGGTCTGTTTCGATGAGCTGAAGAGCTGAAGGGCTGAAGGGGCCCGGCCTGCTGCCGGGCGCCGGTTGCTGAGGCACGTTGCGCAGCAGCGGAAGTTGCACTTCCTGCACTCCTCCGACGCGAAATCTGCACAGCTTGAAAAAGAGACGGGTGTGGGAAGGCCGTGACGAACCTCACATTTACAAGTTATTGCTCATACCCCACAAACCGGCAACAGTGAAGGACTTGGGTAGGGAAGCGTCGCCCCCGCCCCTTCCATAAAAACCGAACCCCCATGCACACGCATCCCTAGACAGACCAACGGATGGACTTGGATGCCCGGAAGCCACAGATGAACCTTATTTCAATTCGCGTAGCTTTTGTGTATAGCCACAACCTAACTAGCGGGCCTAGCGGGCCTAGGGCTCTTTCTGCTTAAGCCTGGCCAGGCCTGGCCCTCATACACGGGGGCACCGCCACAGCAGAGCTGATCCCAGGTCTTGGCGAAGCTGCTGCCGCAGAGCGAGCAGGTCTTGGGCCGTACTTTGCTGTGTCCCGCGACCTCCACGAGGCCGCAGCGCTTGTTGCAGTTCACCGGGATCGCCTCGATGCAGTCGACCTCCGGCACCTCCCGGAAGAAGCATCCTGAGACTCTGACTGCGCAACAGGGAGCAAAGCTAGGAGAACGATCTGATCGGAACATGGCATTAAAAAAGAACGTCTGAGGCAAGGCTCGAAGCTTGATCTGCGGCGGGTTCTCTTCAGATCCGGACTCTGTCTTCAGCGTCCACCAGGTCTCCTTCTCCGACTTCTCCACAAAGTCCGCCACCGTGGGCCTCTTGCCCTTCTTCTCCACATGCCCAAGCAGATCGTCGGATGTAACCATGTCACTGTCCCACACTTCGACGAAGATGTGCTGCTCCATGTGGTAGACCAAGAGATCGCAGGAATGGGCCGGGCCCCAAACAGGATCCAGGGTCTTGGCCTGACACTTTGTCTGGAAGCTGCTGTTCCCAATCTTGATGATGACGTAAGGGTCCGAGGAGCCTTTACCCGTGAAGCCAAAGTCGGCTGCAGGCAGATTTCGAGCCTCCAGGACCGCCAAGTGCAGGGCTCCTATGGGCGCCGGCGATCGGAAGGTTTCCACTCGCATCTCTTCTTGTCGGTTGCTGGCGAGGCCGGCGATGTCCACGTAGACACGGCTTGGCACCACGAGGGTTTGGAAAATGGCATGGACGATCCCCTTCCTGATCACGGCATTGGCCCAAACACACTAGACATAATGCCTCAACAGCCCTTGCGGAGTCCCAACACTCTCTCGGTTCTTCGGACGGTGCCTTCGGAGACTTGCTACTTTAACATCCTCTAACCGACTCTCTAACATCGCTCAGGCTCCGAATGACGTCGACAGCCAGGGCCTTGCCCAACCCGGTCCAATTCCACGTCAGCTCTGGTGGATCCGGAAAGGTGATGCTCATGCCGCCAGTAATGGGCAACTCCCCCATCAGAGGGCAGAAGACCAAAAGGATGGGTCCGTTGAGCTTGATGTCTTTCATCCCCAGCTTCATCTTGCCGACGGTCACCTCGATCTCGGAGCCAGATGCGGTCCAGTGCATGTCGATCAGCAGCTCCACGCAGTTGTCCTTTGCACGCACCTTCAAAGGTCCAAAGTTCGGAGACTGGCTTCCGAAGTTGCACTTGCTGAACTGGAAAGAGTTCATCATGGGAACCTCATCTTTGATCAGGGCCGTGATGTCTTCCTTGAGGAGCTTCTCGATGGACAAGCCGATGTACTTCCACATTTTCTCAACGGCCACCGTCAGCCACTCTGCTTCCTTCAGCTTGCCTTCGTACACGAAGAAGCCGGTCTGCTGATGAAGTGATCGACCACCCATCACGGTGGTCCGCCGTGAAGCTCTGCCCACTCCGTCCACATGCAGGGTGCCCATCTCCGACCCGTCCGGCTCGCGTGAGGGCCGTGGTGAGGGCCCAGCACGGGAGCCCCGGGAGCCCTGCTGGGAGGCATCGGAGCCTAGGCCCAAAGGGCCCAAAGCGTCCTGCAGATAGGCATCGCAACAGCTCGGCTCCGGCTCCGAGCCAGCAAGCGGCCTTTCCGGCACCTCATGGCTGCAAGAGGCCGCCCCCATTGCATGGGGCCTCGGGCCCCCACGGCTCGAGCCACTAGCCGCAAAAAGTAGAAAGGCCATAGCGCAGGGAATCAGATCAGCCTCCGTTCCCCTCACCCCGCTTACTTCCTTGCAAAACACACGATTGAACCTGACCGGACGAGTTGCCGTCTGTCTCCAGATACCTGAAGGGCCCAGCCCCGCCATCTTGCAAGCATGAGCTTGACCAGCGGACCAGAAGTCTCGATCGGTCGGCCTGCCAAAGTGCTGCAGCAGATTCTGCCAAAGAAGGCTGCAGCTTCTGTGCGGCCTGAAAGCCAGGGGACGACGCCCAAGCTGCGCATCTGCTCGTCGCGCTTGGACAGCATCTTCGCCAGACCTTCCTGGTGCCTCCGCGACACCTCCGCGAGCTCCGCGAGCCTGGAGCCTCCGAGGCTTTTGTTCCCTATTTCTGTCGGAATGTCTCTGTCTTCTTCTTTCAAACAGAAACCTCCAAGAGGTACTGCTGCCCCGGCACGGTGCTGCGAGAGCACGCCGCGGCGCCAAGCGCCAAGGAACCGGCGGAGCAGGATTTCCTGCAGTCCCACTTTCGGCGCTCACACTCGAGCCAAGGCGAGGTTATTGGTACGTAGTCGGATGACGTGAAGCAATCTTAAGGAGCCATCTGGAAGACAAGGTCATAGCCACGCTATTGGCAGCCTCAAGATATATATCTTACGAGGAACCAGGGAGCTGAGGATGCAGTGCCCCTTGGGCCCTCAGTCCCTGAGTCCTGCACAGCCGCACTTCGAGCTTCCAGGAGTCGCCTTCTGCAGGCCACAACCAGCCGGTGCTGCAAAAACTCTGCTCGTCTTCTGGCTGCGTTTCCTTGGCGCGCCTCTGCTCCCGCATCGCTTCAGGTGCCAGGCGCCAGCTGCGGAGGGCGAAGGCCAGCAGAAGGCGGCCGGAAACAGCGCTGGAGCCTTGAGAAACGGCGGCTATATTGTGCGCTCGCCTCGCAACTCTCGGCCAACCCTTCTGCCTCCGGAGAAAAAAACTGCCGTTTTGAACGGACTGTGGTGGGGCCTGCATGGGATTTTGTAGCAGTTACTACTCCCGGCTGTACCGACTCGAAAGCCCAAACCTTCCCAAACTTTGGCCAGCCAACTTTCGAGGAAGCCGCGGAGGCCCCGAAGCCGCTCCGCCAGTCTCAAGAAGCTGTCTCCTGAGCGTTTTCCCTCTTGTCCGATGCCTTCTCCGCCTTTTTGGGAAAGAGGAAAAGGCAGGTAGGCCGGTAGACATCTGGTCTAGAACCTCCTCGCTGTCCACTACTTTCCGGAGGCCCTTCTGCAACAGGAGATCGTTGTATGAGCCAGCGGCTCACCTCGAGTTCGAAGTAGGGACAGTTGGGCAAGCTCTGGAACACTAGCTGTTGGGGTTGAAAGTCCTCGGAGGCTATGTCAAAACGTCCATGCGCAGTAGCAGTTTACAGATTGGTGCTTTGCTGGTTCAGGGCCGTTGCCTTGCAAGCGGAGTTGGAAAAACTGAGCCAGTCCTGAGACGTCTCATCTACAACCCGCGGCCGTGTTGACTTCTACCACCAACCGTCCACCAACTGTTGGTGTCACACTTCCCCGGCTTCACGATCCTTTCCTTGTCCGGGGTACAAACGCCAACTCAGGTACTGGAGACCCTTTTCGACATGCAAGCACTTACCAAAAAGACCTCTCTGGCTATGTGAACAGAAACGCCCAAGTCTAAGGCACTTCTTGGCGATGAGTCTGAAGTAAAGGCGCATGGAGTAGTTGAAGCCCATGGATTTCATTTGCTGTGCCTTAGCTATTAGCGACTCCTCTCCTGCCCTGCCCTGCAGCTTGAGGTAGGCAGGCGCAGGGTATCTCGGCCCTTAGGCCAAGGAAGGTCTTCGACCGATCTTGGACCAATTCAGACTCTGTGTCTGGATTGAACACATGAGTGGGGGGCATAAGCTTCTGCAGCACACCTCGCTGCGACGAAGCCCATTGAAACGGAATTCACTTGCCACCTTGGGCAGTGGGCCCACCCCCAATGAACATGTAGCTCTAATGTTCTACTTCCTCATTCGAAGTTGCCATAGATATCAAACACCCATGTTGGGGGTTTGGCCTCTCCGGTTTCAGGGTGTTTGGAGTTTGGGCCATGCTGGCCGGAGTTTGCAGATTGCAGACCAAGCCCTGCAAGCAGACTCTTTGAGATGGGACTTGAAAATGACATGTTGCCTGCAAATCTTGTGATGTGGGATGTGGGATGACAGATCGTTCTCTTCGTGCTTGCATGAGCATTCCAGGTCAATCTGCAGAACTTTACCACGCTTGGCCAACGACTCCACGGTCGCAGGAGTCTTAAACACGGCAAGAAGGGCGGAACCCAGAACACCTCAAAAGCCAAAAGCCTAAGCTTAGGTAGAAAGGAGGCCTCGCCCCGTAGGCCACGCAGCTGCGACCAGGATGCAAGAGAAAGATTACTTCGACTGGTGATGACCGAGGCCCCGCTTTGGTGGCCCTTACTCAAGGCACAAGAGATCGGAAGCTCTCGTTGGCCCTGACCCCCCTCTCCTTAAGTCGTCTCGTGTGCCTTGGCCCATTGCCTGCACGCCAGTCCCGGCATTACCCGGGGACCAGCCACATGAAATTGCCCCAGATTGTGATTGGGACACTTCGCAAAAAAAGTGCAAGAGGACGCAACTCGGCGTCGGCCTTTATGCCAGAGAATGATTCAAAACTATACCGAAATAGGGAGCGAGTGTGTGCATTTCATCCGTCAGAGTTCAAAGATCCACCGGCCTTCCTTCCAAGAAGCCGATACATAGCAGGAACCTCGGCCGCACACGAGTCCAATTCACAAATCCTCAACCCTAAACCAAACCTGGCCAGGTGGCTCTGATCTGCACGTTGGGGAGCCACGAATTGTGAAACAGGAGGCCCCCTGAGATTCTGTAGTGTAGGGATTGAGGCCAAAAACAAATGCCTTTTTTCTTGTCACACATCTTTGCCGGGCTTCTGGTTACTGGTTGTGCTTGACGAAGGATGGGAAGCAGACGGCTCAGTCATGGTCCTTATTCTCAGGAATCAGACACAGGGTCCGTTTTCCTAGACCTCCTCTGGGACAAGGAGCCCAGGCTCCGGAGCAGGAGGGAAGAACACCTGAGGTTCGTCACAGACACAGTCGATCGAGTGAACACCAAATGTCACTCAAGCCCGCATATGAGCTCGAAGCATTCTCCGTATTCGCTGCTCCGTGAGTGCTTGTGGACTCTGCCTTGCCCCGCTTCTTCTCAGCTTTCGCCTTGCTCCTTAGACACGGCCAGGGCACAGCAAATCTACTAGCCTAGCACAGCCAGTACGACCACAAGTTGTACAGGGAAACATCCTGACCTTTCTGTAGAAGTCATGCAACCACAGCAGCTGACTTGGTGCGGAGCAGCAAGTATAGATATGATATGCACTGCCGGGGCGTGATTCATATACATACACACAGAAATTTAACATACATCTGGATCAGAATGTAAGCGTATGTGTGCATGCCTGTGAGCATGGAAGGACGCATGAATGCATATCCTGCAACGCCGCAATTCAAAAAAAGAAAAGAAAAAAAACGCGTTCACATACTGAGATATTTGCCACTTTGTAGGGGGTTGGAGTGAAAATGACAGGGGAAAGAGCTGGACAGTGAATGAACTCTTTGCAGCGTTGCGGCTCAGTCTTCAAAGCTTCTTTCTGTTGCTGGACCTCGTCCTGGCTCGACTCTTCTAAAGCAGAAGTCAGCAGAACCAGGACCTCGACTGCAAAGCGGTGCGTCCACATGTCCTCCGTTAAGAAGGAAGCCACGGCGAAGTCAAAGGAAACCTCTCTTCCGTCTAGGAAGATGCGCGGGAGCTTGCTGCTCTCCGAGCCCTGCGCAGGAGTCTTCGGGAAACTGCAACCCAAAAAAGCCTGAAGCTCAAGTCCCAGTTCCAGTCTGGCCCTCGCCTTCTTCCCTTTGGCACAGAAAGTCGCCAAGTTCGCTACGAGACCCTGGTAGGCTGCCTGTGCATGGGCGCGGCTAACAACTCCCAACCTCCACTTTCGCCGCTCCGTCTCAAGTCACTCAAGTCTCTGGCGAGGCACCGATTGCACTTTTGTGATGTAACTCTTGTCGACGAGCATTGCACCCGCGGCTTCTCTGCAAATCTGATGGCTTGAGAAATTGATGATGACCAGGCGAGGCCATGGCAAATACACGAAATCGAAGGGGCGCCGGCCACCTTGCATCAAGACGGCCCAGCCAGCAATGAGTGCCTATTTGCAGATTCCGCTGCGCTGAACAAGCACCGTGACATGTTCATTTTCATTCACGCTTGGGATCCTCATGCGGACTGTCCGAAAGACACCTGCCCTGAATCAGTCACGAAGTATCAGCCGTGTCGCCGAAGCCGCACACACTTGCGATGTGCTGCAGGAACTCATTGCTGGTTACCGGCCTTCGGGAAGAAATTTAGACCAAAATAGCCTGGGGGTGAGGTTGCAATGGCGCAAGGCACCTGGCCGTCCGGAACAGGAGCGTGGTGGTTCCCGCGTCTAGCGATGGCATCATGTTGCTGCGAGTGCCAGCGGCTCGCACTAACTTACCTAGCCAGGAGAAACTGCAGAAGACTTGCGAGTTGTTGCAATGTGCATGAGTCGGACATGAACTGCAACGAGTACCCACAACGTCTGGACGCGAGCCAAAATGTCCGCATCAGGAAATTTCGCGTCCACGCAGAGGCCCAGGCACAGAAACAGAATCTAGTCGGGTCGGCAGACGCCCCTAAAGGCTTCTAAGAAGGGCTTCTACAACCAGGAGATGCGGCCGAAGCCTCGCCGCGCAAGCAGGCACTGAGTTCGCCAGGCATGGAAGCTGCTTGGCAAAGACCCCTCCTCGCGCAGAACGGTCCAAAGCATTAAAAGACGTACACAGCTCTGAGGCCATTCCTCCACGTGGCGTGAGAGGCCCAGAGCTTTCGTGCAGCGCCTCTGCCCGGCGTGCCTTGCGCAAGGAAATCCGGAGCTTGCGGCCATGTCTATCTAAATGGCATGCTGAGGCCCAACCAGGGATCGCTTGACATTCGTTTGCATCAGCGGAGCAACGGAAAAAACACGAACGACGAAACAGACGAAAAACTGCCTACGTGCACGTGCACACAGGTGAGGGCACACATGTCGTGCATACGACCATACATGCTGCAGTCGCCGCAAGCGTGCATACATTATCCATGCATGCATGCATGCATGCGTGCGCGATTGCATGCGTGCAGCAGTGCAAGCCTGGTAGTATGGATGAGCGTGCATGTGTGAATATGCAGATATGCAGGTATGCAGATATCTGAATAGAGGTCTGTGATAGTTCCTTGAAAATTATGCATGATTATGATTTTGGATATGGAGATATATTGATATATCGACAGCAGCAAGCACACGGCGGCGTCTAGCAAACTCACAGTCGCCTGCCATCTTTGACAGGTATCGAGTCGAGGCCCTGGCCACGACTTCCAGCTACGCCAGCACCACGTGAGCGCATCTGTCCCGCCTGCCATTAGGCGGCAAACACAAGAGGCCCAAGGAAACCCACAAGCCAGCACTGGGGGCCGCGCCTTGCAAGAAGTTCACGCAATCCCGTTGACCTCACACTTCAGCCAATCCCAGATCTTCATGCACTGCATGCAACCATACGGATAGCAGGCTAGCAATGAATATACCTAATATACACATACAGGTGTGTGCATGTATGTGAATAAGCCAGGCAGAACAAGCTGTGAGGGAAAACAAGTAAACTATGACCATGCACGTATGTATCGTACATGATGCAGTGGATGGTTTGATGGCTGCATGCTTAAATGGTCGGACGGCTGGATGAGTGGATGGA